TTAAAGGATCAAACAATATGCTTTCGCGTGCCGTGCTCCACTGCTTCCAAGGTGTTTGTTTACTAATGCCAACTGACTACGAACTGTTTCTACATACACATGATCTTCACCAAATATTTGTTTTCTGATTATCCGTGCTTTTTCGTAAAGTTCTTTGGCTTGACTGAATTCTCCCAGGTGTTTGTACATCAACGCCAAGTTGCTATAACTTGTTGCTACGTTGGCATGATCTTCACCAAAAATCTTTTTGTAACTCTTCAGTGCTTTTTCATGAAGTTCTTTGGCTTGACTGTTTTCTCCTAGGTGGTTGTAAACTAATGCCAAGTTGTTATAACTTGTTGCTACATCGGCATGATCGTCACCAAAAATCTTTTTGTAAATCATCAGTGCCTTTTCGTGAAGTTCTTTGGCTTGTTTGTATTCTCCCAGGTGGATATACACAGGGGCACCCAATGGATCTGTTCCTCAAAATATCTGTTCTTCAGGCACATTTTTGCTGGCTGGGAGATGTGAAAGAAATAATAGTCCTTGGAAGGAAGTGTTGCTGGGAAAAAGATAATTCAGGGTGTCAGAGGGGGTTTGAAGTCTAGAATAGCTGCTACGGGTTACTTGTATGGGTTACTTACCACTCAAGATCTGAATTGTGCCCTATGAAACTTCCCAATAAGTCAGGTTGCAGGTTGTGAGGTTGCTGGCTGGGAACTCTTCCATCAGTCTTGCTGGGAGTGAGGAACAGATAATTTTTTTCCAGCAATCTCCCAAAATGCTTAAAATAGTCTCAGAAAACTTTACTCACGCTTTGTTGTTGTTTTAAGGTCTTTTTCTCAAAATTTCCCGTTGGGTGCCCCTGTATACACTAATGCCAAGTTGTTGTAACTTGTTGCTACATTTGCATGATCTTCACCAAAAATCTTTTTGTTAATCATTAGTGCTTTTTCGTGAAGTTTTTTGGCTTGACTGTTCTCTCCCAGGCTGTTGTACACTATTGCCAAGTCGTTATAACTTGTTGCTACATCGGCATGATCTTCACCAAAAATCTTTTTGCGAATCGTCAGTGCTTTTACGTGAAGTTCTTTGGCTTGATTGTATTCTCCCAGGCTGCTGCAAACTAATGCTAAGTCGTTATAACTCTCTCCTACATCGGCATGATCCTCACAAAAAACCTTTTTGCGAATCATCAGTGCTTTTTCGTGAAATTCTTTGGCTTGATTGTACTCTCCCAGGCTATTGTACACTTTGCCAGTCATGTTCAAAACCCTCCCTTTACGAGTTAACGCACCTGTTGAAGTGTCCTCTATGTTTCCCAGTAGGTTGCATGCTAGGTCGACCACATTTTTCGCAAAGAAGATATAAGAGTTTTTCTCACAGACACTGGCGAGAGTATATAGCCAATCAATAACTGTATCCAAATCTACGAAGGGCGTAAACCGTTCTACAAAAGTGCTTTCATCCAAGCTAATCTCTGACGTCATGTACTTAAGTACAGATTCACAGTGGGGCCTCAATGTTTTACAAAACGCATAATTCTCGTCATTTTCGTCGAGTTCAACCTTGAAAATCTTTACCGCTTCTGCCATGGTGTGGTCCCTCTTCCATGATTTCAAGTTAAACATCTCGCCTCGTTTCAAAGCTTCATGCACAACTTTGTGCAAACGTAAATAAGTTCGTTCACCCCCATCTTCGGAATGAACAAGACTTAAGGAAGACCTTACAATCTTTGCCTTCATTAAAACCTCTTGATGGTCCTTTCCTTGGGCTTTGACGAATTTTAAAACAGTTTCGAGTGGAAGATCATCGTTACCGCAGAGCGAAAGAAAAGAGAATGCATGACGAAGAACCTCGTCTGTGTCAACAGCTCTTTGGATAGCCATTTCTACGGCGGCCATTGTTGTTTTATCATAGGCTGAACTCTCATTAGCAAGGACAGTTTCCGCCTCTTTACGTTGACTGTATGTTGATACGTCTTGAAGGTATGCTTTCCAATCATAATTTGAAGACCCACTGGTCACAACAGTTTGTACGTAATAAGCAGCAGCAGCTAAGGCCAGTGGCTGAAAATCGAGAAGTTCCGCGACATTTTCTGCTTGTACTGGCTCTGAAATTTGCGATACTGTTTCTAGTCTTCCACTGCCACTTCCCGCCTCATTCCTTTACTTAACGATTCATGATACGTGTGAGGAGCGTTTTGAGGAATTGTACCACTATCTTGGGTGGTAATCAGCACTTGCCCATGGCCCCATTCCTTACTGCCAGTTTGAGGTAGTAAGTCGCAGACTAAACGTAAGTCAGTCACATTGTCCGCTATTATCAACCATTTGATGAACTTGCTGGTCTTCGGCAAAATCAAGCGATGAAGTGTTTGAATTGCTTCAATAGGTTTCTCTCTTTTTAAAGATTCCAAGCTTGTCAACGCGTATTCTGTTATCCCTAAGTGTCTTCCAAGGGTGAGGTAAGAGTCAGCAAGTGTCTCAACGCTTTCTGTGTTTATTGTCGCAGCAAAGATAAGATTATCGGTTTGTTCAGAAAAGAACTTCTGTCCAATTTCCCGGGCAAGTTGGCTCTTGCCACATCCTGGATTTCCTGACAAATACACTGTACTGACTGCTCCGCTAGAGCCATTGTTAAGTTCCTCCATTTTGTTAGTGATCCTTTCAATGTCATGCGAGCGGATGATGATATCATGTGGTGGGCGCGACGCGAGAATGCAAAATGGCTGCAGTTCCACACTTATTTCCTGTGTGAGAGAAACCAGGGCAGCTTCGGTACTTTGAAGAGTGCTTTTTGTCAGGTCCAATTCGGCTTGGAGATTACGAGCTTCTTTCTTAATGTTTTCCACTTCCATGGTTGGAAAGGTCTTCTGGTTCTTTATTTCTTGAATCTCAGTTATAGCAAGACCTAGGGATGTAAAATCGTTCAACAGTCTGTCTACAGAAGTTCTGAAGTCGGCATCTGTCAATTTAGCCTCGGTGATATGAGCGATCTCGTTTCGCACCTGACGAATATCATCAACCACTTTATAGACAGCTGGGCTTAAAGTGGTGCCAACGGTGTCTGAGTACAGGATGGCAAAAAACAAACAGGTACAGTCCCACTTTGCTGTGTTACCATTGTGGATTGTTGCCAGACAACGGGCGTTTTTTCTTGTGACTTGCTTTAGATTCATTGTTGTAGAAATCACGACCATTTTGTGCCGTGTCTTTCCATTCTCTAATTGACGTTGCTTTATAGAGGAAATCCCATTCGTTTTGGAAAATCTGCCGGAGTCCCACTGGAACCAAATCAAATGCTATGTAACAGAGTCTGAAGTAGTTTAGTTGCTCTTGTGAGTATTCCATCTGACCAACTTACAATCCTGTGAGAGATATTTGTTTTTAACTTATTTTCAGTCAGGTCAAAAATAGGTTGTTTACTTATTCTTATTGAAAATGTCAACTAGAGACCGGTGATGAACACAGGAATCGCAAAAGATTATGAAAAGCTAGTAACTAATTATAAACTCCGTTAAATAAGAGACTGCAGGTTAAGTATCTACAGTTTTACGCTATTCCTTTAGATAAGCGACCACTCGTAAGCTTCAAACACAACTTGCTTGCCGGGAGCTTTGCTCATGACGTACTTTAAAGATTTGTTTATTCAGTTTAAAGTTCCAAGGGGTGGGGAGGGGTGGGGGATAGAAAGGGGGTTGACTCGTCCTCAGTCGTCTCTGTTTGGATCGCACACGTGACTGAAGGGAGAGCGAGGGTTGATGGGAAGGAGGAAAACGAAAGGGAAAGACTATGTCCCCACAGCCCAAAGTCTCCCCCCGCGCTTTTCTCGTTAATATTATCGAGTTTACGCAACGGGACGGCAGAAAGGAGAGGACGCACAACGCGCTAACGCTTGTGTGCGACAAACAAGACAAGGCTATTACTTGTGTGCTTTATTATGATCTTCACTTCACATAAAAGTTTTCTGGTCATTTACTAAAAGATCTGTTTAAAGGACTGAAAGGAGGGCTAACTTTGACGAAACGTTGTTTCAAACAAAATTATTAATGTCACGCTGGTCACACAAGTTTGCCGTCTTTTCTATCCTGTCCTGTGCATAAGTTCATTATTAATAGGAGACTGAGAGACGACTGGGGAAGTGGGTCTTGGCATTCCTTAATATTACCGAACTAGAACAGGCCGGGAGAAGGTTGCTGACGTATTGTGCACATCGAGAATATCAGAGCGCTTTTCTCACTGGAGCAAAATGCAATGTGCAAACCGTTTTAGTTAACCAAGAAACTGAATACCAGCTAATTGAATTATGTTGCTCTGTGTCACTTTTCCCAGTATTATGGAGTAATTTTCGTGGGATGAAGACTGTTAGACGGGGGGGCGTTCGTTAGAGAGGCGTCCAATACAAACCTAACAGAATGGGGGGAAGGGGGCGGGGGTGAATCGAGGTTATCAGACAAGAGGCGTTTATTTGAGTGGAGACGTCTATTAGACCATTTTTAAAACCAGCCAGTGAAAACTAAGGGTGCATTTCTTTACTAAAATCCGAGATCAGAAGATCGTTAGGAAAAGAAACGATGTATCCAAAAAAGAATTATTTTTCATTCATTTGTATAGCAGCAACCTACAATATTGACGGTATCCTGCTTGGAGAAAGAATAACACTGCTGCTGACAATGTTCCAAGTTTGCTGATCTTTCATTGTATTTTGGATGGTTAGCTTCATGATACAGCTTTAGACGGGACCAGTGAAGATGAGTCTTGAAATAAGATATGCACTGGAAAAGTAACGTCTTGCAAGACGCCCCGCGAAGTTGTGTAGCAGTTTTTTTCTCGATTTGTCCTTGTGAACTACAACAATGTAGGTCCTGTTTGTATTGCAATGTTATCACCCCGATAAAACAGATAAAAGGTGTTGTTTAATCCATGGCTCAGGTACAAAAATGGCCGTAAAGATGAGCAGTGTTGTCAAACAGTTTCTAGTTACCGCTGGCAGTTATTCCTGAGTATTAATCTTTTCGGATCCGTAGTAGAAACGACTCGGATCATGTATCGTGTATCCGGTTTTGGATACGATCCAAAGAATTCGAAAAGAATCCACCTCCGCTGTGGATCATTTGGATCAATAATCCTTTTTTGGATTTTATGAAAGAAACGAAAAATCCGTTTTTGGATTAAAAATCCGGATTTGGATTTTAGTAAAGAAACGCACACTAAAAGTCTAGTTGAATCAGTGCAGTATAATTGTTGTTTTGTGTGTGCGTGTTGTCGGCCGTTTCGACTAGCGCTTCAATTGAATGGCAAGTTGAGGGTAACAGATATTCTAAAGGCAAATGTTACTTGAGTGAAAGAAGGATAAAAAGTAGGAAGGAGATAAATCCTGTTTGTATGGAAACATTGTCGACCCCAGAGCTTCTCCCTTGTCTCCCCCACTACTTCACCCCTTAAAAAACAGGCTCTTGAGTCGAGAATGGTAAGTTGTGGGTGTTACTAGTACCACTACCGTCCCATAGACAGGAAAAGAGTGCGCAGGGGGGGGAAGAGATGACGAACATATAGCAAAAGAGAACAAGGTGGGTTATACAAAAGTTCTCTCAAAGTTCATTATTTTTTGGCCACTGAAATTGTTAATTCTTGGTCTTAAAAAAAAATTACTCGAAAATTTCTTTTAGCATTTATCCCTTTCACTCGTAGACCGAGTTATGGTGAGATGACCCGTTGTTTTAATTTGTACCTGTGGACCTTTTGATGGTGCAATCACGCCGACGTTCTGAACGCGTAACGAAGCCCTAAGAACGCGAGTCTGCGTGGGAACTACGTACGATTCCGGTCGTCGCTTAACTAGCTTTACCTCTACACTCAAAAGTAACGAGAGACGACTGGAAATATATGTCCGCGTGCGCAGGCTTGTATGTCTAGTAACAGTGATACTATTTAAAGAAACCTCTCCTTCTTTGGCCGTTCTCTTTGCGTGAATTTTTACCTCTTTGTTTGTGGTTGTTTTTCTGAATTTTTAAGTTAGCCACTGACAGGACTGACAGGGATGAAATTTATGAATGATGACCCAGACATCACAGCACACAAATAATTGCAAATGATGATTTGGTAGTGTTCCAAACATGAAAAAATCTTTCGTGGACAACGATTGACCCACTGTGATCGATGTATTATTCAGTCTATGGGATGGTAACGACCCCTTTATGCACTTATTTTTAGCGACAGAGCGACCTTAAGCGGTCATGATAATCCAACACATACAAAACTCCCTGTTATGTAAAACTCATCCTCGGAGACCCAGGGGCAGATAGTGGGGACGAGGGAAAGTCTAAACGGGCGGAAAAATATGACACGAAGAAAAGTAAAGAACGGCGAGAAGAGCCCCTGGGGACAATGTCTTACCAGACCAGTTCCAACGGTCGCCGCCGTTCTGGCTTCTGATTGGTGCCAGAAAAACACAAGTTTTCTGGCACCAATCAGAAGCCAGAACGGCGGCGACCGTTGGAACTGGTCTGGTAAGACATTGTCCCCAGGGGCTCTTCTCGCCGTTCTTTACTTTTCTTCGTGCCATATTTTTCCGCCCGTTTAGACTTTCCCTCGCCCCCTTTATCTGCCCCTGGGTCTCCGAGGATGTGTAAAACTAATACCAACAAAATTTGCGTGGATTACTCTGTGGCTATGTTAACCCGAATAACCAAGGAAAAAGTACTCACCTTGCCCAAAAGAACCCAAGGAAATTGGATTTAATAACGCGTGAGATAGTACCATACGATGAAGAAGCGGAACTGTAGAAAATGAAATTGATCTGAAGGAAGTTGCCATCATGTGACCGATAATACAAACGGTCACGCTATTTTGGACAGTCACGCTATTGGTAGAAAGTACGGAGACGTGGAGGGTGGGAACTCTCCTTAAAAAAGGAAGCGTATGCTAATCAGAAAATTAGAATTTAGCCCCTAAAGGAGACCAATCTTGGCTTGGCTCCAAAAGGAGACAAAATTTGTTTGTTTTTATATAGCTATTTATTTTTGCTTAACCCAGAGCAATGCCTTCATAGGTAAAAATATTTGCTTACCGTCCTGAACACCCAAAGTGAAAACAAAATCTGCAATTTCTATGGCTAAGCGAGACGACGAGCATCCCCGTCATGATTTTCAAATTGGAGTCCCCGAAGTCCCCGGGTGGGGTGATGGGGGCTGGGGGGGGGGGGGGGGTGGGTATGTGGCACGCATGATCGACCATTAAAAAAAAACGGCCAACTTTTTTCAAGTAGAAGCTGGTCATATCTTTGTCCTAGAGTACACAGAAGGAGAATAGTATGTTCTCGAAAGCAATGACCATGTAGTCAACACTTGATGAATAAAAGGACTAACTCCTTGAGTAAATTTAGGTTTATACCATAACATAGGGCATGGTTCGTTAACATCGAGTGAACAAATTAATAAGAAAAGATCCTAATCCTAATGTGGTATAAACAACAAATGCCAAGCCTTTTGCTAAAATCCCTTTTAAGAGACCGCTGTCAATAAGTCATAATCGCTTTTCTCGTAAATGACCATCTCTAGTTGCAACCACTTTTACGAATTTCCGAGATGATTGCTTTGAAGAACTTTAAATGTGGTGAAATTTTCTACCCTTTTTAAGACTAACAGCCCCCATGGCCAAACCATACACTGTTTAGCGGCATCTACAGGTTTAGGCCAAATAAGGAAGTGCCCCTCGAGCTTGAGGAGGGGCCTGGGGTGTTGACTGTTATTCACATTCTAGTGGTGTAAGTAAATTTCAGTGATAAGTTGATCCAAAAAGAAATCGCATCTCATCCACATAAAGGTGTTTAAGTTTTAACCACACCTGTCAGGAAATTCTTTTTTTTCCTTTACTCCTCTGGCCTTGATAAACAAGAAACATAATGGCCATTCAAGAGCACCATCCTTTAGATCAAGGTGATTTTCCATAACCAAGTAGTGTGGAAATGTCTTTGTACCCCATAATGAGGCTACTATAAAATCAAGACTCTGATTCCAAATATTACCCAGTCACCTGTAAACGTTTTGATCAATGAACTCAGGAACTCCTCTAATTACTTTATCGATATACAATTTATAAAAAAAACTATTTTTTGTAGCAAGTCTTCAGGCGTGAAACAATGCTGTTCTTCACTTGCAGCTTTCCGTGTGTTTTTCAACATCACCTCTTTTATTCTCTTCCAATCTCGTCTTAAAGTCAATTATGACATGTTCGTAAATCCAGTCAAATACGGAATATAATCTGGATGGCGAATTACTTTACTTGCCATCTTTTCAGGCACGCGCACATACAAAAAACGATAAACGAAACCCTTTATACCGCCACGATGAGCAATATCTTTCATGACATACATAGAAAGGTTTTCTTTTTTTCTTGAGTATGGAATACCAGTTCTCTTCAACAACATTTCCCGAATCTTTGGCCATTAGTTAAATCGCTAAGTCTCGTATTCCGTTTATAGGAGGCTAGTAATATTAAAATTCCGCATCTCCCTCTCCAATTTCTCCAAAATTCAGTATCCCAGCCTAAGAATAAGCCAAATCTCGGATACCGAATAACTTATTGGGGACCCTCCAACTCTTTTGCGTAGAAGTCGTCTCCGTTTCCTCTTAGCTGAGTGGGAAAAGCAAACCAGACGCGCGAGGGCAGGGTGCATAAGAAGGAGCCAAAAATAGAAACAAAGGGAAGGGGCTGGAAATGAAAAGGAATCACCTTATTTGGCTAAAAGGAGACAGAAGCGACTGCTACACAGCCTATTGCCAATTAAGACAATTTATAGGATCAAACAACGTGCTTTGTCGTGCAGACCCTCAGCTTGACTGCTTACAAGGTGTTTGTTTACTAATACCAACTCACTACGAATTCTTTCCACATACTTATGATCTTCACCGAAAATTTGTTTCCTAATCGTCAGTGCTTTTTCTTAAAGTTCCTTGGCTTGATTATATTGTCCTAGGCGGCTGTACACTGATGCCAAGTTGTTATAACTTGTTGCTACATCGGCATGATCTTCACCAACAATCTTTTTGGGAATTAACAGTGCTTTTGCGTGAAGTTCTTTGGCTTGATTGTATTCTCCCAGGGTGTCCTATACTAATGCCAAGTTGTAATAACTCGTTGCTATACATCGGCATGATCTTCACCAAAAATCTTTTCGCGAATTATCAGTGCTTTTTCGCGAAGTTCTTTGGCTTGATTGAATTCTGCCAGGGCTTCGCACACTAATGCCAAACTGTTATAACTTGTTGCTACATCGGCATGATCTTCACCAAAAATCTTTTTGCGAATTATCAGTGCTTTTTTGAGAAGTTCTTTGGCTTGATTGTATTCTCCCAGGCTGTTATACAGTAATGCCAAGTTGTTATAACTTGTTGCTACATCGGCATGACCTTCACCAAAAATCTTTTTGTAAATGATCAGTGCTTTTCGGAGAAGATCTTCGGCTCTACTGTATTCTCCCAGGCTGTTGTACACTAATGCCAAGTTGTTATAACTTGTTGCTACATGGGCATGATCTTCACCAAAAATCTTTTTGTAAATCGTCAGTGCTTTTTCGTGAAGTTCTTTGGCTTGATTGTATTCTCCCAGCGTGTCGTACACTAATGCCAAGTTGTTATAACTTGTTGCTACATCGGCATGATCTTCACCAAAAATCTTTTTGTAAATCGTCAGTGCTTTTTCGTGAAGTTCTTTGGCTTGATTGTATTCTCCCTGGCTGTTATACACTAATGCCAAGTTGTTATAACTTGTTGCTACATCGGCATGATCTTCACCAAAAATCTTTTTCCGAATTAACAGTGCTTTTTCGTGAAGTTTTTTGGCTTGATTGTATTCTCTCAGGGTGACGTACACTAATGCCAAGTTGTTATAACTTGTTGCTACATCGGCATGATCTTCACCGAAAATCTCTTTGCAAATTATCAGTGCTTTTTCGGGAAGTTCTTTGGCTTGATTGTATTCTCCAAGCCGGTTATACACTGGTGCCAAGTTGTTATAACTTGTTGCTACGTCGGCATGATCCTCACCAAAAATCTGTTTGCGAATTAACAGTGCTTTTTCGTGAAGTTCTTTGGCTTGATTGTATTCTCCCAGGCGTTTGTACACTAATGCCAAGTTGTCATAACTTGTTGCTACATCGGCATGATCTTCACCAAAAATCTTTTTGCGAATTATCAGTGCTTTTTCGTGAAGTTCTTTGGCTTGATTGTATTCTCCCAGCGTGTCGTACACTAATGCCAAGTTGTTATAACTTGTTGCTACATCGGCATGATCTTCACCAAAAATCTTTTCGTAAATCGTCAGTGCTTTTTTGTGAAGTTCTTTGGCTTGATTGTATTCTCCCAGGCTGTTGTACACCTCGCCACTCACATTCAAAATCCCCCCTTTACGAGATAACGCACTCGTTGAAGTGTCGTCTAAGTTCCCCAGTAAATCGTATGCTAAGTTGACCACAATTTTCGCAAAGAAGAAATAGGAGCTTTTTTGACAGACCCAGGCGAGATTATGTAGCCAATCAATAACTGTATCCAAATCTATGAAGGGCGCAAACCTTTCTGAAAAAGTGCTTTCATCTGAACTAAACTCTGACGTCATCTGCTTAAGTAAAGATTCACAGTGGGACCTCAATTTTTTGCAAAACGCATAGTTCTCGTAATTTTCTTTGAGTTGGGAGTTGAAAATCTTTACCGCTTCTGCCATGGTGTGGTCCCTCTCCCGGCATGATTTCAGGTTAGCTATCTCGCCTCGTTTCAAAGCGTCATGCACAACTTTATCTAAACGGAAATAAGTTCGTTCACCCTCTTCTTCGAAATGAACAAGACTTAAAGAGGACTTTATAATCTTTGCCTTCATTAAAACCTCTGGATGGTCCTTTACTTGGGCTTTGACGAACTTTAAGACAGTTTCGAGTGGTAGGTCGTCGTTAGCGCAGAGCGAAAGAAAAGAGTATGTATGAAGAAGAACCTCGTCTGTTTCAACAGCTCTTTGGATAGCCATTTCTACTGCAGCCATTGTTGTTTTAGCGTAGGCTGAACTCTCATTAGCAAGGACAGTTTCGGTCTTTTTTCTCTGGCTGTATGTTGATATGTCTTGAAGGTACGTCTTCCAATCATAATTTGAAGACCCACTGGTCACAACAGTTTGCACGTAATAAGCAGCAGCGGCTAAGGCCAGTGGCTGAAAATCGAGTAGTTCAGCGACATTTTCTGCTTGTACTCGCTCGGAAATTTGCGATACTGTTTCTAGCAATTCCACTGCCTCGTTCCGCCTCATTCCTTTGCTTAACGATTCATGATACGTGTGAGGAGCGTTTTGAGGAATTGTACCACTATCTTGGGTGGTAATCAGCACTTGCCCATGGCCCCATTCTTTACTGCCAGTTTGAGGAAGCAAGTCGCGGACTAAGCGTAAATCAATCACATTGTCTGCTATTATCAACCATTTGGTAAACTTGCTGGTCTTCGGTAAAATCAAGCGATGGAGCTGTTTAATTGCTTCGATAGGTTTCTCTGATTTTATAGATTCTAAGCCTTTCAACGCGTATTCTGTTATCCCTAAGTATCTCCCAAGGGTGAGGTAAGAGTCAGCAAGTTTGTCAATGCTTTCTGTGTTCATCGTCGCCACAAAGATCAGATCATCGTTTTGTTCAGAAAAGAACTGTTGTCCAATTTCCCGGGCAAGTTGGCTCTTGCCACATCCTGGAGTTCCCGACAAATACACTGTACTGACTGCTCCGCTTGAACTTTTGTAAATTTCCTGCATTTCGTTAGTGATTCTTTCAATGTCATGCGAGCGCCTGATAGTATCGTGTGGTGGGCACGATGCGAGAATGCAAAATGGCTGAAGTTCTACACTTTTTTCCTGTGTGAGAGAAACCAGGGCAGCTTCGGTACTTTGTAGAGTGCTTTTTGTCTGATCTAACTCGGTTTGGGGATCACGAACTTGCTTCCTAATTTTTTCCACTTCCTTCGTCGGAAAGGTCGTCTGGTTCTTTATTTTTTGAATCTCAGTTATAGCCAGACCAAGGGATGTAAAAGCGTTCAACAGTCTGTCTACATAAGTTTGGAAGTCGGCATCTGTCAACTTAGCCTCGGTGATATGAGCGATCTTGTTTCGCACCTGACGAATATCATCGACGTCTTTACGGACAACTGGGCTTAAGGTTTTACCAATGCTGTCTGAGTACAGAATGGCAAAAAACAAACTGGTGGAGTCCCACGCTGCCGTGTCACCATTGTGGATTATTGCCAGACATCGGGCGTTTTTCTTGCGACTTGCTTTAGACTCTTTGTTGTAGAAATCATGACCATTTTGTGCAGTGTCTTTCCATTCTCCAATTAACGTTCCTGTATAAAGGAAATCCCACTCGTTTTTGAAAATCTGCCGCAGTCCCACTGGAACCAAATCAAATGCTATGTAGCACAGTCTGAAGTAGTTTAGTTGCTCCTGCGAGTATTCCATCACCACCTTAAAATCCTGCAAGAGACATTGCCTTTTAGTTTATTTTCTTGTGAGGAAAAAATTGGGGTTATTATATTGAAAATGTCGAGTATCAACCGCCGATGAACACGGGAACCCCAACAGATTATGAAAAGCTAGTCACTAATCATAAACTCCGTTCAATACGAGACGGCAGGTTAAGTATCTACAGTTTCAGCAGTTTTATTCTAGTCGGTTAGGTAGACGACTGCGCGTGGGATTCAAACACAACTTTCTTGCCAGGGACCTAGCTTGTTACCAGCAATGGGCCTCTAAGATTTATTTGGTACACTGTTTTCTGAATGAAGGATTGGTAGCCTGTGTACAGACGCCCCTCCTCCCTCCTCGATATCTTTTAGGAGGGTGAGCGTCTGTACACAGGCTAAAGCTCGGGGGTTCTGGCGATCTAAAGAATAGGGGTCGTTTTAGGAAGCGTTCATTCTGATAAATGTACCACCTTCAATAAAACTAATGTACTTTGAAAGCGAATTCCTTTCTGTCCACGTTTGCGGAAAACGAAAACGCGAAGTGGGTCTTGTTTGACCTAGATGCTACCGTGCTAGAACAGGCCGGAAGAAAGTTGCTGACGTATTGAGCACATCAAAAATATCAAAGAACGGTTTTTTCACTTTGAACTCACGGAACAAAATGCAATGTGGAAAGCCTTACTAATCAAGCAAGAAACTGATTACTAGTTAATTCAACGATTTTCCTCTATGTCACTTTGTTCTAGTATTCTGAAATAATCGTCATTGGGAGGTCGAGGTAGGCGTCTGTTAGTCGCGGCGTTCGCCAGGGAAGGGGCATCAAATACAAATATAACAGCATGAGGGGGATGGGGATCTTTACTAGAGAGAAGAGGAGTTTATTTGAGAGGAGGCGTCCTTTAGATCATTAAAGATAAGTATATTATCATTCGATGTCAGTGTCTCCATTTTTCAACCAAATAATCACTTGAATAATGATAACTAAAAGTCTTTATTTTAATCAATGTCGTTCAATAATAACTTTAAGTGTTCTAGGCCGTTTCGACCAGCGCTTCGTTTGAATGGGAAACTGAGTGTAACAGATATTCTAGAGGTAAATAATGCTAGAGCAGAAGAGGGATAAAAGGCCGGAAAATGTTAACCCCGAATATGTGGAAGTGGTAGGGCAGGCACGCACCACCGTATAAGCACGGGGCAGAGGGAGGAGATAAAAAACAGAGAACAAAAGAGGAACAAAGTGGGTCATACAAAAGTTCATTAATTTTGTTCGTTCTGTATTCGCCAATGAAATTGTCGATTCTTGTGGCATAACTGAATACGCGAAAATTCCTCTTGGCACTTTAACCCTAGCCTGGATTTCAGACACAAATTCAGGCTTCTTTAATCAACCCTTTCACTCCTAGATTGAGTTATGGTGAGATCTCCCGTCCTTTTTTAAATATTCGAAACCTTGTATGACTGGTACCCAGTCCGCTTTTTTGTCTCCACGCGACCTCAGCTTTCCATGATAAGAGACGACTTGGGACGAGTCAAAGCTGGGGTCAATTTAATAAAACTTTTACAAGTGTAATTTACAAGTGTAGCCATTGTTTCAGAGTCTGAAAACAAAAGCTATACTTGTAAATTGCACTGTAAAAGTTTTATTAACTTGACCCCTGGTTTTCACTAGCGACGGAGTCCGAGTCGTTATCAGAAGTGTAGAGCTTATGATCTAGTGAAAACAGCGTTCCGATTCCGCTTACGACGCCGTCACCTACGTTCCGCTTATGATCTAGTGAAAACCAGATTGTCGGAGTTGGAATCGGAGTCGGAAGTAGGAGCAGAATAACCAAACCAATCACAAAGCGTGGGAACGATTGGTTTATCGTTTCCTGCTTCCGACTCCGACAATCTGGTTTTCACTAGATCATAAGCGGAACGTAAGCAACGGAGTCGTAGGCATAGGCGTGCAGCCCCCCCAAATTTTGGGCAACTCAGATTGTTTGGGCAGCAAGAGAAAATTTGGGCAAAGCCAGTTGTTAAAGGCGTTTCCATGTTTATTTTATTGTTATTTTGAAGAGAGGAATATTTTCTATTTTAATCTGAAGTCGGCGTAATAATCCAGTTACATTCACACAAGACAGTGGTTGCCTAGCAAGTGATGAGTTTCTGGTTATTAGTGAAGGGTATCATATGCTGATTTTTTTATTGTTGGGCACTGTGCTGCACTGCACTAACTGGAATGGGCTTTTTCCAGTCGTGAATTGATTAGAATAAACTTTCGCATAACTTTCTAGAATCACTTCCGCTCGTAGAACAGTGTATGGCAGATAGCTTCAGCAATGGGTCTCAAAGTGAAGAAGTGGCTGACTAATTCTTAGTTTGAATTACGAGAAGAATCTTAATTTTTTAAACAAAATCTATCCAGCGGTTTAAAAATCATTCATTCATTTGTTAAAGTAGACCGAAATGTTTACAAAACCACTAACAAGAGCGCCATGATACATACTAATCAAATCCTTTTTTGTAGCAATTGGCCAGAGCTATCTCCATGACCTTTCACACGTTTTTAAAAAGATTGAAACTTCTATCAGGTGAAATTGCGTGTCAAAAGCACCTCGTTTTTTTCAGATAAAGGCCAAACATCAAGATGTTACTGTTTTTTACAGTATTTTTAAGGATAAAAACTTCATCCCAAAATATCTCGATAACGCACTTACAGATTCCGTTTTAACTTCGCGAACATCGAGGCGACTAGGAATTGGAGGAAAAAGCTCCTGTGAACTATTTTGCAAGAACAGTTCCCAGTGAGAAAAATTGCTGCAAGTATAATAGGTAAGGGCGTCATTTCGTTGCTATGACAACTCCGATGTCATTGCAACCATGATCATAACAAATTTTCATCTTTATCTAACACAACTATGGTGGCAATTTTTCCAAATGTTTGTTTATGTCGACGAAGTTTATTGTCAAACTTGGCAGGTATTGACCTTGAAAAACTGTATCAAGTCGAGCCACTTTCATATGCCATTACGGCCTATGTTGTTGCATCGTATGGCCCACGTTTCTTTTCGACTGTTTTGAAAATATTTGGGCTACTTGCAAGAATTTTTTGGCAAATGGTTTACCGCCCCCCCCACCCCGGCAAACAATTTCCCGTGCGCCTATGGTCGTAGGCGGAGTCGGAAAAAATGGAAACGTTCTGATTCTTCTGACTCCGATTCAGTCGCGCTTACGACTCCGATTTTTTATTTTTACTACGTCATAAGCGCTCTTACGGCTTCGCTTACGACTCCGACTCCGTCGCTAGTGACATTTCCGTTGGTTGTCCCGAGAGCGACGGTCGGAAATTACGTATGCGTTTGCGGGCATGTAATGGTGATACCATCCACCACGATTCAAATGAAACCTCTTTCGCAGAAATTCTGCTTCTTAGGACTTTAACAAAAGAAATTTGGTTGTTTTTGGAAACGTTCAAGTTTGTCACTCACTGTTAGGACTGTTAAGGTTTCATTACACTAATGTCTTTTTTGCTTTTAGAGTATATTTTATAAGAATATCGAGGCTGAAATTTGCAAAATCTTAAGAATATGATAAGAATAAACCCAAGGCTAAAAAGGACATAATTTTGTACGTTGAAAAACTGTCAATACAATACAATATATGTTTTTAAATTAACCGTGAAATTATTTCTTTCTCTTAACGGTAAAAGTAGCCACGAGAAAGGAAAACAACGTGCCATTGCCATGCAATTTGTACCCCAATACATTCTAAAACCGAAAAGACAGAGGCTACAATTTAAGAATGATTCAATGGACCCATCCAATGCATTTCATGGCTTTGCGCAAACGCCCTTAAACCGATGTCCCAGCCCATTTAGAAAACAGTTTCGAACTCATGAGATGTATCTAAGTCGGCGATCTGATTATGTTCAGTAGACAAGGAGCAAGTGACGTCACAATACCCAGGGGTTGACGTCATCAAAAAATGTTGAGATGATAGATCATCTATAAATAGAAAAGTGATATCATGTCCCTACTTGGTCATGGTGATGTCATAATTTTTCAGGCATGATGATGCCGTAGTTTATTTTAATTATGTGTGTGTTATCCTTATGTGGGTATGATGTCATTGTTTATATTTCTTTAATTAGGATTTTATTTATGGATCAGTAATCTGAAAAATGGGTATTGAGCACGCTTTAAAAGTCACTATCGTGAACATGCTACTCCCAAGGGAGAGGCTGTCTTCTCTCAAGATGGTGGCCAAACAAACAAAAACAAGGTGTAAAAAGCGTACTTAACAGCACCTATGGGAACATAATAAGACATTGGTCGGTGTGTTGCAAGATAATAACTTCAGAGTTAACAAGGCAGATTTTTAACGCTGTGAGTGCGACCCTAACATGCTGATCAGGCGGCAAGATCTTTCTTCTTTACCTGTCCGCCGACCTATTTGTTCCCACTCGCCCCCTTCCCCTCCCTCCCTCTTCTGCTTCCACCCCCTCCAAAAAAAATTCTTACCCAAAATGTCCTTTCACTAAAGGCCATAGTGGCTCTTGCTTTTCATTTTATTTTCACGCACATGACAATTCCCGGATAAAAACAAGATGAAGACTAGTCCAACTATGAATGTTATAGAATTATTTTTCCTAGACCTTTGTATTGTTGCGTTTCAATAAAAACTGTAAACAACCAAACTTTAAGAGTGTTTTATTGCTGACTTGAAAATAATAACAATAATAGTAAACTGATACAATAAATAAAAAATCTGAAATTTGAAATACCAATTACTAATTCACGATCAAAACTTTTTTAATCAGGCACTTTTATTTGCGATTACACTGAATAAAGATGATGATTCCAATGTTGAGAGCTGTTGCGTGACTAGCGACGCGCGAAACCCACGCGTGTGTTTGAGAAAATAAAGACACATGACCAGAAATGGCCCGTTCGTCTCCTTTTGTCCCTTTTGGCCTTTCAGGCCTGGTTACGGCCTTTCTGACACTCTATATAACCTGACTAATTGCGAAAAAGATGTAATTTGTGTTCA